TGCTGAACCATGGATACCAGTGTAGGAATCATGCTGGTCTACTGAAACTAACTTCCTTTGTCAGCTGTGCACTCTGCCCCAGAAACTTGTGATTTATCCTAATGCTGCTACTCTGACTTTTTAAGAGCATTGCATCTCTTTGGCTTTAGAAACCACTGTTTTTTTTTCTCTTCCCTAGCACCCATCATTGATTTGGTTATTTTCCAAAGATTTCAAAGAGATGTGAGAACCTCTTGCAAGCGTAGGCTTTCAAAGAGATGTGAGAACCTCTTGCAAGCGCTTCCATTTTATTTTAATAGCTCCTTGCATAACACATTCACATGAATATTAAAGCTAGTATGTTAACAGCTCAAAACGTTGATGTTCCTAAATATTTTAATCATTATCCATGTCCTATGTGACTTTTTTTGTCCTCTTCAGCTCGATCTTGGTCATGCAAATTAGATAATTTAGCATCTTTCCTGTACATTTTTCATGTATTGCAGATGTAGATGCTGAGTTCATGATAACTGCATTCACTTTCACTAAACTAAGAAACTGCCACCATGTGGTGAACAATTGAAATGCCCCATTGACTAAAAGTTTAATAATTGGGGGATCTACTCAAGATAAACAGAGTATTATTAAAAGCTCTAATAAGGCATGAATGATGGGCGTGGGGGCAAAGTGAATTTGTAACTTGAAGTAGATTTTGTGTCATGGGCATTTTACAGACTTTTACCTAGTTTTAATGCAGAACAACTACAGCTATCTGTAATTTGTTTTAATTTAATTTTGTCTGACTCCTCGCACTAATCAGTAGGAGCTAACTTTTCATGATTCTACTCTTCTAACTGATCCTGAAGTGGAATGTGTGGAGATCCTGCTCTAATTCTGCTGTCAGCATCAATATTGTGGAGATGTTCTGTGCTCATATGGCACTGTTAGTGTAAGGTCTGAAATTATTCATCTTTCTAAACCTGGATTTCAGAGTCTGTTAGATGGACTGCTATTGGATTGACCAGTGCATTCTTGCAAGTTTGTGCCAAGAGTGGTGGGACTGGCATTAAAGAGGAATGGGTTACTTGAGAGTTCTGATCTTGAGTGTTATTACTTCTATTCTGAACTAATTAAACATTTCAGCCTTTTGAAGGTTGTAACTATCTCTGAATTTTTTGGCTGTTTGAAAATTGAAAAGCCAAGAGGCCAGTTGGGTTATTAATACTCCAATCTTTGATTTCTGCCATTAACTTTTCCTACTGTCTCATTGTCTATAATGTAGCTCTTGAGAGGTTTTCTTACTAGTCCAGAACAAGTATTTATTTGATATGATGGGGATTATGACACAGCCTAATGCAGTAGAGAACTATAAAAGTTCAAACAAGTGTCAAAAACCCTCTAGCTAGTCGGACTTAACAGGCTGGACCAATGCAATGAGACAAACTTCTTTGTCAGTATAAATGGGCGGAGGTCCAATCAGTGACTCATTGATACCAGCAGACATGTGCTAGGGCTTTTCTTTGAGTGATTGTTCATACAGATTCTGCTTATGGTGTGCACATGCCCCATGTATGTGAGTTGACTCTCTCCTTCCTCCTCCCACTCTCTCCCCCACCACACTCCCAAAAGAGGTGTTTGTTGTGGCTGCACCTGTGCTCTGTACTGTCCAGGCTGCCATAACTGAGTTTTGCCATAACAGGGCAGCTGCAATCATTACTCGGTGCTGCCTTACT